ATTCAGAAAAACGGATTCAACATTATATAATCAGGATCTATTGCTTGAAAGAAGACCATATTAGAAACCGTGAAGATACAAAATTGGAATTGGAACTTAACACATAATAAGGAATAAAACATATCTCTGCTGCTATAATCCAGGTAGAGAGTGCAAACCATCATAAAAGAGGTTCGAATAAAATGCCTAGGTTATTTGAAAGAGAGAAATTTGTGACAAAAAACCTTTTATTCAATTATTCATTCCAAAAATATTTCCATATACATCAAGTTTGTATATTTGAATATGGGTAAAAGTTAGACAGACAGAAATGTGAAACAAGAAACTTTTCAGAAGAAGGAAGCAAGAAATCCAAAATGAGGAGGTGGTGAGGGAGCTAACATCTATTAATCGCCTAGTCTGTACCTGGCATTTTATATAACTTCTGTCTTTTAGCCTTAGAACATTTGTACATTAAAGCCTCCCCCACCCACCCCGCCAAAAAAAATAGTTGCGATTGTGACTCCACAGAGGAAGTTCCTTTTTTTAAAAAAAATTCATTATTATTGATTTCAGAGAGGAAGGGAGAGGGAGAGAGATAGGAACATCAATGCTGAGAGAGATTAATTGATTGGCTGCCTCCTGTATGCCCCCTACTGGGGATCGAACGCGCAACATGGGCATGTGCCCTGACCTGGGATTGAACTATAATCTCCTGGTTTACAGATCTACGCTCAACCACTGAGCCATGCCAGCCGGGCCATGGAAGAGTTCTTTAAAAGGAGTTAGAGATATTTTTCAAAATTGTTCCAGATCCTTGAAGTTGTAAATGAAGAGCCAAGATTCAATTCCAGGCAGTTTTTTCATTATAATCCAGGCACTTCCTAGAAATTTCTTGCTGGTGAATTGACTGACATATCCATAAAAGGTCTGAGTTAGAGTTCAGCATGGATGTGAAGCTTGGTGCAGAAAGTGACACATTGTCCCTTAGTGTTTAAAATGCACAATGTAAGAGATCAACCAAATGACATGTATGCATGCATATAAGCATAACCAATGGACATGGACACTAGGGGGGTGAGGGTATGTGCCAGGGGATGGGGGTGGCCAGGAGATGATGGTGGCCAGGAGATGGGGGTGGCCAGGGGGAGGTCAATGGAGGAAAAAGGAGACATATGTTATACCATATGTAATACTTTAAACAATAAAATAAAACCGGCATTGAAAAAAATGCACAGTGTGTAAAAATAAATAAAATAAAATGCACAGTGTGCCCAACAATTGTGGCATTCTCCAGATGGGGGTATCGGCATTCTCCATGAAGAAACTACCAATCAGAAAGGGCAGCAGAGAGATGAGTCAAGAATCTGGAAATTTTAATCTGTCTGATTTAACCAAGACCTAAATAATAGAGTTTTGGGCCAAATATTCGGGCATCCTTTTGAAAGCATTTTCTGAGTACTCACTCTGTCCTAATAGATGCTTGGTGGCATCTTATTGACTTTATCTCTTTGGCCAAAGTAGGAAGCAGAAGGAATTGCAAGATAAGACAAAACATAGGCAATAGGTGACAAGAGGTTTTAACAAAAATTGGGTGATCTGTTTTTTGTACTACAGAGAACTTTAGAGAACTTTAGAACAACATTGCTTCTCCTTATTCTGGCATACCACATCCTGTGTGATAAAAAGTCTCAAAGACTACCATCCCATCTTTACTTTCTACTTCCTTCCTTGCCCCTACTGCCCAATAGAATAAAACTACTAATATAAACTATTGCACATATTCCATGATAGTCCCTTTTTATACCCTGTTCAAATCATTCTTTCCCTTCTACCCTCTCCCTTTCTTTGTTCTTCTCCTTCTCTCTCTTCCTTCTTCCTTCTTCCCTCCTACCCTCTCCCTTTCTTTGTTCTTCTCCTTCTCTCTCTTCCTTCTTCCTTCTTCCCTCCTACCCTCTCCCTTTCTTTGTTCTTCTCCTTCTTCCACCTCTTCATCTCATCTGTTTCTCCTTCTTCTTCTTTATGCATATGATAAATTTCTGTGTATACTTCAAAGCCAAGCTTTCTTGATATTGTAATTCATGAGCCCTACTAATCTGTCATTGAGGCACAGTTTCTCCCTCTTCTAAAGTTTCTTAGCATTCATTTGTTACTTACAACATACTATCTAATAAAAGAGAAACATGGTAATTAGTGTACGTACGCTACCCTTCCCATTGGCTAATCAGGGCAATATGCAAAATAACTGCCAGCCAAGATGGCGGCTGGCAGCCAGGAAGCTTGAAACTAACATGAGGCTTGCTTGCTTCAGTGACAGAGGAAACCAACATTCCCCGCCTACCTTGCCAGCCTCTGAGCCTGCAATTTGAAACATTTTAACAAATATAGAAGCTAAAAAAAAACAACCCAGAAACCAGCTTTCAGCGAGCTGGGATCTCAGAGCTGGAGTCAGAGCTGGAGTTATACATTGTTTTGATTATAGAACTGAAACAAACCAGATACCTACTTTCAGCAGCGGAGGCCTAAGAGCTAGAGCCTCAGAGCTAAAGCTGGCCCAGAATTTTTTAAAAAAGGAAAAAAAGGAGTGGTTGGGAGCTTCTGTCACCCGCCAGCCTGAAAACAGCCCTCAGACCCTCACCCAGACTGGCCAGGTTGATCAGCCCTGCTCTGTGCCTGATAGGGGGGAGCTCCCCAACCCCCTGATCACCCTGCGGCTCTGTGTGTGACAGGGTGTGGCACCCCAACCCCCTGATCGGCCCTCTTCTGTGTGTGACAGGGTGCGGTGCCCCAACCCCCCCCGCAACGGGCCCTGCTCTGTGTGTGACAGTGGGAGGTGCCCCAGACCCTGATCGGCCCTGCTCTGTGCCTGATAGGGGGGAGCTCCCCAACCCCCTGATCACCCTGCGGCTCTGTGTGTGACAGGGTGTGGCACCCCAACCCCCTGATCGGCCCTCTTCTGTGTGTGACAGGGTGCGGTGCCCCAACCCCCCCCGCAACGGGCCCTGCTCTGTGTGTGACAAGGGGTGGTGCTGCAACCTTCCCAAAGACCCTGCCTTGAGTGTGACAGGGGGCGGTGCCCCAACCCCCCAATTGGCCCTACCCTGAGCGTGACTGAGGGTGGCATCACAACCTCCCAATCCACCCTGCTCTGTGCATGACGGGGGCGGTGCCCCAACTCTCCCATTGGCCCTGCTCTGAGCCTGACCACGGGCTGCACCTAGGGATTGGGCCTGCCCTCTGCCACCCGGGAGCGGGCCTAAGCCAGCAGGTCGTTATCTCCCGAGGGGTCCCAGACTGCGAGAGGGCACAGGCCGAGCTGTGGGACCCCTCCTCCCCGCCGAGTGCACAAATTTTTGTTCACCGGGCCTCTAGTCTTAAATATAATGGCCCTGCTCATATTACAAATATTATGTTCATGTTTTATATATTTTATTAGACTTCAAGTTTCTTAGGAAGAACTTAATAAATATTTCTTGAATAAATAAATGGTGAAATGTTAGGGTATTTCCCCCTGAAATGATCCCTAAACCATTTCCATGAGAGAACAAAATACTATACAAATAAGAGTTCAAGGGGAAAAATGAATTTTCCATAATAGTACAAGAATATTAAGGTGGGTCTGTGTCTAAATAAATGAATAATCCTTTCATAGGCTAATGTTAACCAGGAACTGCTCATTAGCATTTCTGAGATCAGAGAGAGAATTAAGAAGTCTGTTAATGTATTTAATGGACAGCTGAATGTCATTTCTGCTAACATTTCCCCTCTGATTTCTTCTCTTGCTTCTTTCTCTGGGAAAAAATAGTTTAAAGAAGATTTGGCTTCATCAACACTTTTTAGAACAACATCAGATACTTAGTAAGGTCCTTACGTTTTCTAGAAATCTATTTTTTTAATGCTTGCCCACTGATACTACCAATTATTCTAAAATTTGAGACAATAAGCATGACAACTTCTATTCTCTATTTATTACTAGCAATGCTCAAATTCATGACATTCCAAATTTCACTCACTCAAACTTGATTTCCCATGTGATTGCTATTTCATTTATCTGACATACATTTACTGGTTTGGAACCTAGTTCTAGATGCTGAAGATGCTACAGTAAACAAGATAGTCAAGTCCTATGCGCTGATACAGTTAGCATTTTGGTGAGTTTGATGAAGATATACCAAAAATTGACTAACAAGCAAATAGAAATATATAATGATAACAGGTGTTTTGCATAGTATTAAAATAGTGCAGAGTGACAGAAAATGAAAAAGTCTCTACTTTTAGAAATGGCAATTAGGGAAAGCCTTTGCAAGTAGGTGAAATCTGAAGACAGAAAGGAGAAATTATACAAAGATCAAGAGATTAAGAATGTTCTAGACATAAAAAACAGTAGGGGCACAACTTATATGGTAAAACTGATTTAACATATTCAAGTGAATAGAAATAACAGCATGGCTGGAATAAAGTATAAAGAAAGTGGATGAATGAGATGGGTCTAGAGCATTTGGAAAGGGATGAATCATGCACGGTGCATTAATCCAGAATAAAATTATATTTTAAATAGGAAATTATTGTATAACTTTGAACAGATAGATGGCATATTAATATTAACATATTTAGAAGATCATTCTGGCTGATATTGAAGGATAAATAAGAGAGGGATTGAACAGAAGTTTGGTGACCAGCTAGAAGATTATTATAGTACTCAGAAAATGATGATGGTGACTTGAACCAGGGTGGTCTAATGGGGAGAGAAAAAGTAGATGCATTTAGGTTGCTTTGAGGTAGTGCTGAGAGGTCATACTAATGATTTGAATGGGTTTAGATTTTTACCTTGAACAACTAAGTGGTTTCAGTGCTTTGCCATGATGGGAAATGCCAAGAGAGAAACAGTTTTTTGAGTGGAGAGGAAAATAAGTATTTTTTTTGTCTTGTTTAGGATACATATTAGACATTTATAAATGGAGACATCATGGATGCAGTTGGATGTGCAGGTCTTAAAATCTATGTCAAAACTGTATATAGAGATTTGAGTGTATGTGACATGTAGATAATTTCAAGGCATGTTACTGAATAAGATCAATGAGAGAATTGGAGACATTACAGAGATAAAAGGGTCAGAGGTCAAGCCCTGGAAGGCTCTTTAAGTAAGATATGGCAAGGAGGAGGCAGAAAATCTAAGAGACAAAAGGAATGCCCATTGAGACATAATATCACAGAAGTCAAAAGAAGATGATATTTCAGGAACAGAGAGGTCAACTAAGCCAAATGCTGCTTTTATCCCACACAATAGCTTGGGCTTTGGGAGTACAAAGAGGAATATATCCTAATTCCTGAACTTAAAGTTCATATTCAAATTGGGTAGAGAGTAAAGCAAACAGACAATTTCATTCCGGCATGTAACTGATAGTTCAAGGTATTATGGGAGCACATAAGAAGGACATGTCTGCTAATACTTTGAGGAAAGCAATTAAGAATGGTCTTTTGGAGGACATGTCCTCTAAAGGAAATATAATAAAGAGTTCAATGACAGAAAAATTAGGAGATGTAGCTACATAGAAGACATTTATAGTAAATAGAATAGTTTGTAAAAGGCAAAAGGGCAAAGTTATATAACTATAGGTATGCTCTCAGGATGAATAGGACTTAGATGCAACCATAGGATATAAGTCTAAAGAGATCAGCAGGACTCTGATCATGGACAACTTTGAAAGACATAGTAAAGAGTTCAAACTTTTTCCTAAAGGAGTCATGGAAGAATTAGAAACAGAGGCCAATTAGGAAAGCAATTTGTATTTTAAAACATTGTCTGTGGCAGTCAGCCCCAGGAGTGTGGCTTAAAATGAGTAAGGAAGGCTGATAATAATATTCATATCAGAATAAGTACCTGTGATAGAAATTTCAAAATTCCATCAAGAAATGATGAGTACCTAAAAAAAGAGGAAGTAAAATCTTAAAGAATCTTACCTAAGTCCATCAAAGCCCATGCATCTTATAACAGATGATAAATAGTAAAGATGGACACTGTTAATAATTAAGATAGAGGGTAACTTTGGTCCAGTAAATGGAGCCTCTTAGGTTGGAATTTGGTCAGAAAAAAACTGGTAAATAATTCCTAACAGATGGCAACACAGTAACATCCATGACCATTAACATCAAGATCTCTGCTTTATGCTTCATCCAAGAAATGCAACTTCTGACAAAGTCGTCATTTCCAATTCTACAATAGGTCATTTGCCATAAGAGTATTTACTATTCCCTTTGAAAAAAATACAAAAATTAATAAATAATTTTTGTGATACTGTTGATGAATAACATAATAATTATTTGGAGACTTCATATACAACATAGTAATTAGCCTCTCTGCAGCTTAATAGGTGGCATATCAAAGTGCTAAAGATTCAAACTAGAAATCAGAAACCACGTCCAAGGACTTTGAAAAATCTAATTCAATCTACAGTACATTTTTGTTTGCTTTTGTAACTCACTTCTATTACTTACTTTCTTCCTAGTGTTCATAGATATATAGCTCCTTTTTCTGCAATTATGGGACCTTAACATGGTAGATGGCCATGGCATTTCTCATGGCATTGTCCTGAGACATGAGGGATCTTACAAAACTTTTCTTAGAGGCATTTACTTGAAACGTTTCCCATTGTTAATGTCTCAACTTAATTTGGCTAAAATGTGTTTCAAATTATGTATCAAAAATTAGGCAATGAAACATTTAAATTATAAAACATTAGGAACCCATATAAGTGTTCATTCTGGCTTTAAGTATTGCCTGAACCACTTATTTGGTAATTAATTTTGTACTTTCCAGAGGCATCATCTGCATGTGCTACTTATTGGTACTTAATTCTTTGTTATTTACCTCTTCAATTTGTCTCTCCAGGTTCACATAGTCACAATGTTTTGTAGGTGACCAATATGCTAGAAATCATTCGGCAAATGCTATAATTGTATGGATAAGGAAACCGAGGCCCAGAAATGTAAAGCCTTTTTATATTTCTGTAGTCTATAAGAGGTAGAGCTGAAAAAAAATTCAGGCCTACTGTTTTGTTTTGTTTTTTAATTATCTTTATTGTTGAAAATATTACAGATGTCACTTTTTCCTCCCCATTCACCCCATCCACTTCCTCCATACCCCCAAGCTGTCACCACACCATTGTCTATGTATGCCCATGGATTGTGCATATCCTATATAATAAAGGCTAATATGAAAATGGACCGAATGATGGAACAACCAAACAACCAGTCACTATGACGTGCTCTGACCACCAGGAGGCATGTGCGGAACATGGTGAGTGTCAGCCGTGGAGGGATGGTGAAGCAGGTGAGTGGAAGTGCCAGACCAAGGCAGGGCACTGGTCGCTGTCATCAGGGCGAGCCTCTGGTGGTTACTGAAAATTCTTTGCTCCCGTGCACTAGGGTCCTGCCAGGTGCTTGCATCTGCTGCCAGCACCAGCCCTGCTTGCACCCGCTGCTGGCACTGGAGCCACCACTCGCACCCCCTGCCAGTGCCTGGTGCCAGCCTCAATCACTCGGCACCTTCAGTGGGTGCAAGCGGTGGCTGCCGGCCCTGATCGCCCCTCAGGGCTTCTCCATCTCCCCCTGCTCTTGAGGGGAGATTGGGGCTGGAAGCTGCCTCTCGCCCCTGCTGCTGGCAATGGCCCCGCTCGCAGCCACTGCCAGTGCCCAGAGCTGCTGCTCGCACCTGCTGCTTGTGCCTGCCCCAATCGCTCTGCACCTTCAGCTGGTGCAAGCAGGACCGGCACCATCAACGTGTGGGAGCAGCAGTCACAGGAGTGAGGCTGCAGGCAGATAGGGGGCCAGGGGTCACAGCGGGAGAGGTTGGGCAGGGGTTTGGAGGATGGGCCGAGGCCCACTCCTGTGGCTACTGCAGCTTTGTGACCCACAGTTCCTTTTAAGGTGCACGAATTCATGCACTGGGTCCCTAGTCTTTCTATATAAAAGGCTAAGTGTCCATTCATCCGACCGGTAGCTATGACACGCACTGACCACCAGGGGTTCAACGCAGGAGCTGCCATGATGCGCACTGGCCATTTAAAAATAAATGGCACCATGGACCTGGTGCTGACAAACCAAAACTTGGTTTCCCCCAGGTGTGACACAGGCCCTTCCAACACCCCGGAGAAACACCCCACCAAATCACAGCCAACCCTGCCAAGGCCCTAAGTTGCAAAATGCAGCCCACAGCCCAGCCCAGCTCAGAAACAGTCAATGTGGGCGCCGGGTAATGCCGTCATGTAGCAACGCCTGGCTTCCTCTCTCTAGAGACTAGCCTCCTTGGAGTTTCTTCAGCCCAGGAACCCAACTTGCTTTATATCCAGTTGCAAACATTGTACACTTTAACCAAGTGTCTGTGAAGCATTTTCCAGTGTCTCATCTCATTTGATCCTCACAGAAGTCCTGGCGTAGGTAGATAGGAGACTTGGTAGAATCCTATTTTCTTTTCATTGGCCAGAAAACAGAGATTTAGAGAGTTTATAAACTTGACCCTACTGAAAAGAAGTAAGAAATAGTGGCGCTTGAAAATGACTTCAGGTTTTCTCACAGAATATAGTCAAACACTTCTGCAGTTAAATATTTTACCCTTTGTTCTCCCTGCGTGATCTATAATAATAATCTGCTTCATGTTGATATTTATTGCTGTGTTGCTGACAATTACCTGAAACAGAAGTTGGGGTGCTTCACTGGGCTGGAAGAAGTTTAGCGAAATCACAAAGCAGGACTAATTAAAAAGACTACGTTGACTCATGCATGTGTGATACATATAAAGCCTTTGCTGGCGCCAATCGCATTCGTGTGTTTCAATCTGTCATTGTCGATCGTGAATTTGGTTGACACTTCTATTACAGAGAAAGGATGAATAGCGATATTAAAAATATTCCTTCTAATTAATTTCCTTTCAATGTGCACAAATCCATGCACCGGGACACTATGCATGGCATTATAGTATTCATATAAATTCTTTGGTTAATCGCTCCCACCACCACTCCCACTTCTGAGATTCTTCAATCTGTTCCATGCTTCTAAGTCTCTGGATCTATTTTGTTGTTGTTATTAATTCTCACTGAGGATTTTTTTCTTTTTTTTAAAAAAAAATTATTGATTTCAGAGAGTGGAAGGGAGAGGGATAGAAAGATAGAAACATCAATTATGAGAGACAATCATTGATCGGCTGCCTCCTGCACGCCCCTTACTGGGAATCAAACCCACAACCGGGGCATGCCTGACCAGGAATCAAACTGTGACCTCCTGGTTCATAGGTCGATGCTCAACCACTGAGCCATGCCAGCCGGGTGAGGATGTTTTTCCATTGATTTTTAGAGAGTAGAAGAGAAGGGGAGAGACACTGAGAGACAGGGAGAAACATCTATGTGAGACAGACACATGAATTGGTTGCCTCCCGCACATGTCCCAACCAGGGCCAAGGATTGAGCCTGCAACCAAGGTACATGCATTGATTGGAATCAAACCCGGGACCTTTGGTCCACAGGCCAACACTCTATCCACTGAGCCAAACTGGGTAGGGTTCAGGATCCATTTTTCATCAGTTTATTTTGTTCATTAGATTTCATATATGAGTGAGATCACGTGATACTTGTCTTTCTCTGACTGGCTTATTTTGCTTAGCATAATACTCTCCAGGTCCCTCCATGCTGTCTCAAAGGGTAAGAAACCAATGTCTTTGTTTAAAACTCTTCAAGAGAGACTGTCATATACTTCTTTGTATTGTCTTCTGTGCTTAGTAAATTATCTTACACCTTTTGCTGACTTTTAAATTGTTAATGCCCACAATGTTCTAGATTAATCATTTGATATGATCAGCACTGTGATTTTATAGGAAATTTGAACTGTTAAAAGTAACCTTTAAAGTTTTGTTACTTTCGGTTCTCATCTGAAAACCAAAATCCTATTAATTCAATCTCTTCCAGGCCTGTCTAAAAGCCTAGGAAGTTATTTCTCCCTTAAAATAAATATAAATGTCATAAGATTTATCTTCATTCTAGGTTTGGAGGTGAAATGATAAACTATTTTATCATGCCATTTTATAGTATAAAACTTTTCTATTAAAATTATAAAAATGTGTTGTAAATATCAATATATTTTGGAGTTTACTTTTTAAATGCAGACTAAGATAAAATAAAAGTTAAAATGATAGGCATATTATTACATAGATAAAACTATATAGAATATTTATAAAATGCAGTATCATTTTTGCTCCTACATTTCCTTTTATAAATATTGACCTAAATATATTGCATATCAAGGCACATTTCTTGAGGTGTGACAGAGTAAGACGCTTCTATATTTTTCTTTATCCTATCTAATAAAGAGGGAATATGCTAATTGACCCTCACGCTGTTGCAAAGATGGTGGCACCCACAGCCAATAAGGAGGGAATATGCTAATTGACTTCCCCACCCTCAAAGATGGCGGCACCCACAGCCAATAAGAAGGGAATATGCTAATTGACTGCCCCACCCTCAAAGATGGTGGCACCCACAGCCACAAGATGGTGGCACCCTGTCCCCTCAGCCCGCCAGCTGCCCAGAGCCACCCGAGGCTCAGGTAACCAGGGCCGGCCAAGGCTTGTGCAGCCAGCAGTGGCAGCAGCAGAGGTGTGATGGGGGTGTCACCTTCCCCTGATCGCCGGGTCACCTCCCGCCCCTGAGGGCTCACAGACTGTGAGAGGGGGCAGGCCAGGCTGAGGGACCCCCTCTCCAGTGCATGAATTTTCATGCACCGGGCCTCTAGTATCTTTATATTAATTTTTAAGAAAACAGTATTCCAGGAAAGGAGATACTAAAGAATAGAGGGAACTGGCAAGAAATGAATTTTAAATAAGTTTTATAAAGGAAGGAAATTAAAATATTTCCTAAGTATAGATAAAGATGCTAAATATTTTCCAAATGATAGGCAATAAAATAGGTGAACAAAGAGAATAATGATGGTGATGGACTCAAAGTGGAGAGCTCCAGTTA